GATTCACTTGCGCCCGATTCGCATGCGCCCGATTCCCTGCACCCGATTCGCTTGCGCCTGATTCGCTTGCGCCCGATTCCCTTGCGCCCGATTCGCTTGCGCCCGATTCCCTTGCGCCCGACTCCCTTGCGCCCGACTCCCTTGCGCCCGATTCTCTTGCGCCCGATTCGCTTGCGCCCGATTCGCTTGCGCCCGATTCGCTTGCGCCCGATTCGCTTGCGCCCGACTCCCTTGCGCCCGACTCCCTTGCGCCGGATTCGCTTGCGCCGGATTCGCTTGCGCCCGATTCGCTTGCGCCCGATTCCCTTGCGCCCGATTCGCTTGCGCCCGATTCCCTTGCGCCCGACTCGCTTGCGCGCCCGAAGCGCTTGCGCCCGACTCCCTTGCGCCCGATTCGCTTGCGCCCGATTCCCTTGCGCCCGATTCGCTTGCGCCCGGTTCGCTTGCGCCCGATTCGCTTGCGCCCGATTCCCTTGCGCCCGATTTGCTTGCGCCCGATTCCCTTGCGCCTGATTACCTTGCGCCCGATTCCCTTGCGCCCGATTCCCTTGCGCCCGATTCGCTTGCGCTCGATTCGCTTGCGCCCGATTCGCTTGAGCCCGATTCGCTTGCGCCCGACTCGCTTGCGCCCGACTTGCTTGCGTCCGATTCCCTTGCGCCCGAATCCCTTCCGCCCGATTCCCTTGCGCCCGATTCGCTTGCGCCCGATTCGCTTGCGCCCGAATCCCTTGCGCCCGACTCGATTGCGCCCGATTCGCTTGCGCCCGATTTCCTTGCGCCCGATTCGCTTGCGCCTGATTCCCTTGCGCCCGACTCCCTTGCGCCCGACTCCCTTGCGCCCGATTCACTTGCGCCCGATTCGCATGCGCCCGATTCCCTGCACCCGATTCGCTTGCGCCCGATTCGCTTGCGCCCGATTCGCTTGCGCCCGATTCGCTTGCGCCCGATTCCCTTGCGCCCGATTCGCTTGCGCCCGATTCCCTTGCGCCCGACTCCCTTGCGCCCGACTCCCTTGCGCCCGATTCTCTTGCGCCCGATTCGCTTGCGCCCGATTCGCTTGCGCCCGATTCGCTTGCGCCCGATTCGCTTGCGCCCGACTCCCTTGCGCCCGACTCCCTTGCGCTGGATTCGCTTGCGCTGGATTCGCTTGCGCCCGATTCGCTTGCGCCCGATTCCCTTGCGCCCGATTCGTTTGCGCCTGATTCCCTTGCGCCCGACTCGCTTGCGCGCCCAACTCGCTTGCGCCCGACTCCCTTGCGCCCGATTCGCTTGCGCCCGATTCCCTTGCGCCCGATTCGCTTGCGCCCGATTCGCTTGCGCCCGATTCGCTTGCGCCCGATTCCCTTGCGCCCGATTCGCTTGCGCCCGATTTCCTTGCGCCTGATTACCTTGCGCCCGATTCCCTTGCGCCCGATTCCCTTGCGCCCGTTTCGCTTGCGCTCGATTCGCTTGCGCCCGATTCGCTTGCGCCCGATTCCCTTGCGCCCGATTCGCTTGCGTCCGATTCCCTTGCGCCCGATTTCCTTGCGCCCGATTCCCTTGCGCCCGATTCCCTCGCCTCCGACTCGCTTGCGCTCGATTCGCTTGCGCCCGATTCGCTTGCGCCCGAGTCGCTTGCGCCCGATTCGCTTGCGCTTGATTCGCTTGCGCCCGATTCCCTTGCGCCCGACTCGATTGCGCCCGATTCGCTTGCGCCCGATTCCCTTGCGCCCGATTCGCTTGCGCCCGATTCCCTTGCGCCCGACTCCCTTGCGCCCGACTCCCTTGCGCCAGATTCACTTGCGCCCGATTCGCCTGCGCCCGATTCCCTGCACCCGATTCGCTTGCGCCCGATTCGCTTGCGCCCGATTCGCTTGCGCCCGATTCGCTTGCGCCCGACTCGCTTGCGCCCGACTTGCTTGCGCCCGATTCCCTTGCGCCCAAATCCCTTCCGGCCGATTCCCTTGCGTCCGATTCGCTTGCGCCCGATTCGCTTGCGCCCGAATCCCTTGCGCCCGACTGGATTGCGCCCGATTCGCTTGCGCCCGATTTCCTTGTGCCCGATTCGCTTGCGCCCGATTCCCTTGCGCCCGATTCGCTTGCGCTCGATTCGCTTGCGCCCGATTCGCTTGCGCCCGATTCCCTTGCGCCCGATTCGCTTGCGTCCGATTCCCTTGCGCCCGATTTCCTTGCGCCCGATTCCCTTGCGCCCGATTCCCTCGCCTCCGACTCGCTTGCGCTCGATTCGCTTGCGCCCGATTCGCTTGCGCCCGATTCGCTTGCGCCCGATTCGCTTGCGCCCGATTCGCTTGCGCCCGATTCCCTTGCGCCCGACTCGATTGCGCCCGATTCGCTTGCGCCCGATTCCCTTGCGCCCGATTCGCTTGCGCCCGATTCCCTTGCGCCCGACTCCCTTGCGCCCGACTCCCTTGCGCCAGATTCACTTGCGCCCGATTCGCCTGCGCCCGATTCCCTGCACCCGATTCGCTTGCGCCCGATTCGCTTGCGCCCGATTCGCTTGCGCCCGATTCCCTTGCGCCCGATTCGCTTGCGCCCGATTCCCTTGCGCCCGATTTGCTTGCGCCCGATTCCCTTGCGCCCGATTCCCTTGCGCCCGATTCCCTTGCGCCCGATTCCCTTGCGCCCGATTCGCTTGCGCCCGATTCCCTTGCGCCCGACTCCCTTGCGCCCGATTCTCTTGCGCCCGATTCGCTTGCGCCCGATTCGCTTGCGCCCGATTCGCTTGCGCCCGATTCGCTTGCGCCCGACTCCCTTGCGCCCGACTCCCTTGCGCCCGATTCGCTTGCGCCCGATTCGCTTGCGCCCGATTCGCTTGCGCCCGATTCGCTTGCGCCCGATTCGCTTGCGCCTGATTCCTTTGCGCCCGATTCCCTTGCGCCCGACTCCCTTGCGCCCGATTCGCTTGCGCACCCGACTCGCTTGCGCCCGACTCCCTTGCGCCCAATTCCCTTGCGCCCGATTCCCTTGCGCCTGCCTCCGTTGCGCCCGATTCGCTTGCGCCCGATTCGCTTGCGCCCGATTCCCTTGCGCCCGATTCGCTTGCGCCCGATTCCCTTGCGCCCGACTCCCCTGCGCCCGACTCCCTTGCGCCCGATTCTCTTGTGCCCGATTCGCTTGCGCCCAATTCCCTTGCGCCCGATTCGCTTGCGCCCGACTCCCTTGCGCCCGACTCCCTTGCGCCCGATTCGCTTGCGCCTGATTCGCTTGCGCCCGATTACTTGCGCCCGATTCCCTTGCGCCCGATTCCCTTGCGCCCGATTCCCTTGCCTCCGACTCGCTTGCGCCCGATTCGCTTGCGCCCGATTCGCTTGCGCCCGATTCGCTTGCGCCCGACTCGCTTGCGCCCGACTTGCTTGCGCCCGATTCCCTTGCGCCCAAATCCCTTCCGGCCGATTCCCTTGCGCCCGATTCGCTTGCGCCCGATTCGCTTGCGCCCGAATCCCTTGCGCCCGACTCGATTGCGCCCGATTCGCTTGCGCCCGATTTCCTTGCGCCCGATTCGCTTGCGCCCGATTCCCTTGCGCCCGACTCCCTTGCGCCCGACTCCCTTGCGCCCGATTCACTTGCGCCCGATTCGCATGCGCCCGATTCCCTGCACCCGATTCGCTTGCGCCTGATTCGCTTGCGCCCGATTCCCTTGCGCCCGATTCGCTTGCGCCCGATTCCCTTGCGCCCGACTCCCTTGCGCCCGACTCCCTTGCGCCCGATTCTCTTGCGCCCGATTCGCTTGCGCCCGATTCGCTTGCGCCCGATTCGCTTGCGCCCGATTCGCTTGCGCCCGATTCGCTTGCGCCCGACTCCCTTGCGCCCGACTCCCTTGCGCCGGATTCGCTTGCGCCCGATTCGCTTGCGCCCGATTCGCTTGCGCCCGATTCCCTTGCGCCCGATTTGCTTGCGCCCGATTCCCTTGCGCCCGACTCGCTTGCGCGCCCGACTCGCTTGCGCCTGACTCCCTTGCGCCCGATTCGCTTGCGCCCGATTCCCTTGCACCCGATTCGCTTGCGCCCGGTTCGCTTGCGCCCGATTCGCTTGCGCCCGATTCCCTTGCGCCCGATTCGCTTGCGCCCGATTCCCTTGCGCCTGATTACCTTGCGCCCGATTCCCTTGCGCCCGATTCCCTTGCGCCCGATTCGCTTGCGCTCGATTCGCTTGCGCCCGATTCGCTTGCGCCTGATTCCCTTGCGCCCGATTCGCTTGCGTCCGATTCCCTTGCGCCCGATTTCCTTGCGCCCGATTCCCTTGCGCCCGATTCCCTCGCCTCCGACTCGCTTGCGCTCGATTCGCTTGCGCCCGATTCGCTTGTGCCCGATTCGCTTGCGCCCGACTCGCTTGCGCCCGACATGCTTGCGCCCGATTCCCTTGCGCCCGAATCCCTTGCGCCCGATTCCCTTGCGCCTGATTCGCTTGCGCCCGATTCGCTTGCGCCCGATTCCCATGCGCCCGATTCTCTCGCCTCCGACTCGAATGCGCTTGATTCGCTTGCGCCCGATTCGCTTGCGCCCGATTCGCTTGCGCCCGACTCGCTTGCGCCCGACTTGCTTGCGCCCGATTCCCTTGCGCCCGAATCCCTTCCGCCTGATTCCCTTGCGCCCGATTCGCTTGCGCCCGATTCGCTTGCGCCCGAATCCCTTGCGCCCGACTCGATTGCGCACGATTCGCTTGCGCCCGATTTCCTTGCGCCCGATTCGCTTGCGCCTGATTCCCTTGCGCCCGACTCCCTTGCGCCCGACCCCCTTGCGCCCGATTCACTTGCGCCCGATTCGCATGCGCCCGATTAACCTGCACCCGATTCGCTTGCGCCCGATTCGCTTGCGCCCGATTCGCTTGCGCCCGATTCGCTTGCGCCCGATTCCCTTGCGCCCGATTCGCTTGCGCCCGATTCCCTTGCGCCCGACTCCCTTGCGCCCGACTCCCTTGCGCCCGATTCTCTTGCGCCCGATTCTCTTGCGCCCGATTCGCTTGCGCCCGATTCGCTTGCGCCCGACTCCCTTGCGCCTGACTCACTTGCGCTGGATTCGCTTGCGCTGGATTCGCTTGCGCCCGATTCGCTTGCGCGCGATTCCCTTGCGCCCGATTCGCTTGCGCCCGATTCCCTTGCGCCCGACTCGCTTGCGCGCCCAACTCGCTTGCGCCCGACTCCCTTGCGCCCGATTCGCTTGCGCCCAATTCCCTTGCGCCCGATTCGCTTGCGCCCGATTCGCTTGCGCACCCGACTCGCTTGCGCCCGACTCCCTTGCGCCCAATTCGCTTGCGCCCGATTCCCTTGCGCCTGCCTCCCTTGCGCCCGATTCGCTTGCGCCCGATTCCCTTGCGCCCGATTCGCTTGCGCCCGATTCCCTTGCGCCCGACTCCCCTGCGCCCGACTCCCTTGCGCCCGATTCGCTTGCGCACAATTCCCTTGCGCCCGATTCGCTTGCGCCCGACTCCCTTGCGCCCGACTCCCTTGCGCCCGATTCGCTTGCGCCTGATTCGCTTGCGCCCGATTCGCTTGCGCCCGATTCGCTTGCGCCCGATTCCCTTGCGCCCGATTCCCTTGCCTCCGACTCGCTTGCGCCCGATTCGCTTGCGCCCGATTCGCTTGCGCCCGATTCGCTTGCGCCCGACTCGCTTGCGCCCGACTTCCTTGCGCCCGATTCCCTTGCGCCCGAATCCCTTCCGCCCGATTCCCTTGCGCCCGATTCGCTTGCGCATGATTCGCTTGCGCCCAACTCCCTTGCGCCCGATTCGCTTGCGCCCGATTCGCTTGCGCCGGATTCCCTTGCGCCCGATTCGCTTGCGCCCGATTCCCCTTGCGCCCGACTCCCTTGAGCCCAACTCCCTTGCGCCCGATTCTCTTGCGCCCGATTCGCTTGCGCCCGATTCCCTTGCGCCCGATTCCCTTGCGCCCGATTCGCTTGCGCCCGATTGGCTTGCGCCTGATTCGCTTGCGCCCGATTCGCTTGCGCCCGTTTTGCTTGCGCCCGATGTCAAAAGTAGTAGTAGAAAGAAAGAATGAAGAAAGGAGGATGTTCACTAGCAAGCAGTTGGACACATATAGCAAACCCTAATTGGGCTGTACTCACTATGGAGTACCCCACTGCAGGCTAGACAATTATAACATTCTGACACCCGATTCCCTTGCGCCCGATTCGCTTGCGCCCAATTCGCTTGTGCCCGATTCGCTTGTGCCCGATTCGCTTGCGCCCGATTTGCTTGCGCCCGATTCCCTTGCGCCCGATTCGCTTGCGCCCGATTCCCTTGCGTCCGATTCCCTTGCGCCCGACTCGCTTGCGCCCGATTCGTTTGCGCGCCCGACTCGCTTGCGCCTGACTCCCTTTCGCCCGATTCGCTTGCGCCCGATTCGCTTGCGCCCGATTCCCTTGCGCCCGATTCGCTTGCGACCGATTCCCTTAAGCCCGATTCCCTTGCGCCCGATTCCCTTGCGCCCAATTCGCTTGCGCCCGATTCCCTTGCGCCCGATACGCTTGCGCCCGATTCGCTTGCGCCCGATTCGCTTGCGCCCGATTCGCTTGCGCCCGATTCCCTTGCGCCCGATTCGCTTGCGCCCGATTCCCTTGCGCCCGACTCCCTTGCGCCCGATTCTCTTGCGCCCGACTCTCTTGCGCCCGACTCGCTTGCGCCCAATTCTCTTGCGCCCGAATCGCTTGCGCCTGATTCGCTTGCGCCCGGTTTGCTTGCGCCCGATTCGCTTGCGCCCGATTCGCTTGCGCCCGATTTGCTTGCGCCCGATTCGCTTGCGCCCGATTCGCTTGCGCCCGATTCGCTTGCGCCCGATTCCCTTGCGCCCGACTCCCTTGCGCCCGACTCCCTTGCGCCCGATTCGCTTGCGCCCGATTCGCTTGCGCCCGATTCCCTTGCGCCCGATTCGCTTGCGCGCCCGACTCGCTTGCGCCCGACTCCCTTGCGCCCGATTCGCTTGCGCCCGATTCCCTTGCGCCCGATTCGCTTGCGCCCGATTCCCTTGCGCCCAAATACGCTTGCGCCCGATTCGCTTGCACCCGATTCCCTTGCGCCCGACTCCCTTGCGCCCGATTCGCTTGCGCCCGATTCCCTTGCGCCCGATTCGCTTGCGCCCGATTCCCTTGCGCCCAAATACGCTTGCGCCCGATTCGCTTGCACCCGATTCCCTTGCGCCCGATTCGCTTGCGCCCGATTCCCTTGCGCCCGACTCCCTTGCGCCCGATTCTCTTGCGCCCGATTCTCTTGCGCCCGATTCGCTTGCGCCCGATTCCCTTGCGCCCGAATCGCTTGCGCCCGATTCGCTTGCACCCGATTCGCTTGCGCCCGATTCCCTTGCGCCCGATACGCTTGCGCCCGATTTGCTTGCGCCCGATTCGCTTGCGCCCGACTCCCTTGCGCCCGACTCCCTTGCGCCCGATTCGCTTGCGCCCGATTTGCTTGCGCCCGATTCGCTTGCGCCCGACTCCCTTGCGCCCGACTCCCTTGCGCCCGATTCGCTTGCGCACGATTTGCTTGCGCCCGATTCGCTTGCACCCGATTCCCTTGCGCCCGATTCCCTTGCGCCCGATTCCCTTGCGCCCGACTCCCTTGCGCCCGATTCCCTTGCGCCCGATTCGCTTGCGCCCGATTCGCTTGCGCCCGATTCCCTTGCGCCCGATTCGCTTGCGTCCGATTCCCTTGCGCCCGATTTCCTTGCGCCCGATTCCCTTGCGCCCGATTCCCTTGCCTCCGACTCGCTTGCGCCCGATTCGCTTGCGCCCGATTCCCTTGCCTCCGACTCGCTTGCGCCCGATTCCCTTGCGCCCGATTCGCTTGCGCCCGATTCCCTTGCGCCCGATTCGCTTGCGCCCGATTCCCTTGCGCCCGACTCCCTTGTGCCCGATTCTCTTGCGCCTGACTCTCTTGCGCCCGACTCGCTTGCGCCCGATTCTCTTGCGCCCGAATCGCTTGCGCCCGATTCGCTTGCGCCCGATTTGCTTGCGCCCGATTCGCTTGCGCCCGATTCGCTTGCGCCCGATTTGCTTGCGCCCGATTCGCTTGCGCCCGATTCCCTTGCGCCCGACTCCCTTGCGCCCGATTCCCTTGTGCCCGACGCCCTTGCGCCCGACTCCCTTGCGCCCGATTCGCTTGCGCCCGATTCCCTTGCGCCCGATTCGCTTGCGCCCGATTCCCTTGCGCCCGATACGCTTGCGCCCGATTCGCTTGCGCCCGATTCCCTTGCGCCCGATTCGCTTGCGCCCGATTCCCTTGCGCCCGACTCCCTTGCGCCCGATTCTCTTCCGCCCGATTCTCTTGCGCCCGATTCGCTTGCGCCCGATTCCCTTGCGCCCGAATCGCTTGCGCCCGATTCGCTTGCGCCTGATTCCCTTGCGCCCGATTCGCTTGCGCCCGATTCGCTTGCACCCGATTCGCTTGCGCCCGATTCCCTTGCGCCCGATTCGCTTGCGCCCGATTTGCTTGCGCCCGATTCGCTTGCGCCCCACTCCCTTGCGCCCGACTCCCTTGTGCCCGATTCGCTTGCGCCCGATTCGCTTGCGCCCGATTCGCTTGCGCCCGATTCCCTTGCGCCCGATTCGCTTGCACCCGATTCCCATGCGCCCGATTCCCTTGCGCCCGATTCCCTTGCGCCCAATTCCCTTGCGCTCGATTCCCTTGCGCCCGATTCGCTTGCGCCCGATTCGCTTGCGCCCGATTTGCTTGCGCCCGATTCGCTTGCGCCCGATTCCCTTGCGCCCGACTCCCTTGCGCCCGATTCGCTTGCGCCCGATTCGCTTGCGCCCGATTCCCTTGCGCCCGATTCGCTTGCGCGCCCGACTCGCTTGCGCCTGACTCCCTTGCGCCCGATTCGCTTGCGCCCGATTCCCTTGCGCCCGATTTGCTTGCGCCCGATTCCCTTGCGCCCGATACGCTTGCGCCCGATTCGCTTGCGCCCGATTTCCTTGCGCCCGATTCGCTTGCGCCCGATTCCCTTGCGCCCGATTCGCTTGCGCCCGATTCCCTTGCGCCCGACTCCCTTGCGCCCGATTCTCTTGCGCCCGACTCTCTTGCGCCCGACTCGCTTGCGCCCAATTCTCTTGCGCCCGAATCGCTTGCGCCCGATTCGCTTGCGCCCGGTTTGCTTGCGCCCGATTCGCTTGCGCCCGATTCGCTTGCGCCCGATTTGCTTGCGCCCGATTCGCTTGCGCCCGATTCGCTTGCGCCCGATTCGCTTGCGCCCGATTCCCTTGCGCCCGACTCCCTTGCGCCCGACTCCCTTGCGCCCGATTCGCTTGCGCCCGATTCGCTTGCGCCCGATTCCCTTGCGCCCGATTCGCTTGCGCGCCCGACTCGCTTGCGCCCGACTCCCTTGCGCCCGATTCGCTTGCGCCCGATTCCCTTGCGCCCGATTCGCTTGCGCCCGATTCCCTTGCGCCCAAATACGCTTGCGCCCGATTCGCTTGCACCCGATTCCCTTGCGCCCGACTCCCTTGCGCCCGATTCGCTTGCGCCCTATTCCCTTGCGCCCGATTCGCTTGCGCCCGATTCCCTTGCGCCCAAATACGCTTGCGCCCGATTCGCTTGCACCCGATTCCCTTGCGCCCGATTCGCTTGCGCCCGATTCCCTTGCGCCCGACTCCCTTGCGCCCGATTCTCTTGCGCCCGATTCTCTTGCGCCCGATTCGCTTGCGCCCGATTCCCTTGCGCCCGAATCGCTTGCGCCCGATTCGCTTGCACCCGATTCGCTTGCGCCCGATTCCCTTGCGCCCGATACGCTTGCGCCCGATTTGCTTGCGCCCGATTCGCTTGCGCCCGACTCCCTTGCGCCCGACTCCCTTGCGCCCGATTCGCTTGCGCCCGATTTGCTTGCGCCCGATTCGCTTGCGCCCGACTCCCTTGCGCCCGACTCCCTTGCGCCCGATTCGCTTGCGCACGATTTGCTTGCGCCCGATTCGCTTGCACCCGATTCCCTTGCGCCCGATTCCCTTGCGCCCGATTCCCTTGCGCCCGACTCCCTTGCGCCCGATTCCCTTGCGCCCGATTCGCTTGCGCCCGATTCGCTTGCGCCCGATTCCCTTGCGCCCGATTCGCTTGCGTCCGATTCCCTTGCGCTCGATTTCCTTGCGCCCGATTCCCTTGCGCCCGATTCCCTTGCCTCCGACTCGCTTGCGCCCGATTCGCTTGCGCCCGATTCCCTTGCCTCCGACTCGCTTGCGCACGATTCCCTTGCGCCCGATTCGCTTGCGCCCGATTCCCTTGCGCCCGATTCGCTTGCGCCCGATTCCCTTGCGCCCGACTCCCTTGTGCCCGATTCTCTTGCGCCTGACTCTCTTGCGCCCGACTCGCTTGCGCCCGATTCTCTTGCGCCCGAATCGCTTGCGCCCGATTCGCTTGCGCCCGATTTGCTTGCGCCCGATTCGCTTGCGCCCGATTCGCTTGCGCCCGATTTGCTTGCGCCCGATTCGCTTGCGCCCGATTCCCTTGCGCCCGACTCCCTTGCGCCCGATTCCCTTGTGCCCGACGCCCTTGCGCCCGACTCCCTTGCGCCCGATTCGCTTGCGCCCGATTCCCTTGCGCCCGATTCGCTTGCGCCCGATTCCCTTGCGCCCGATACGCTTGCGCCCGATTCGCTTGCGCCCGATTCCCTTGCGCCCGATTCGCTTGCGCCAGATTCCCTTGCGCCCGACTCCCTTGCGCCCGATTCTCTTCCGCCCGATTCTCTTGCGCCCGATTCGCTTGCGCCCGATTCCCTTGCGCCCGAATCGCTTGCGCCCGATTCGCTTGCGCCTGATTCCCTTGCGCCCGATTCGCTTGCGCCCGATTCGCTTGCACCCGATTCGCTTGCGCCCGATTCCCTTGCGCCCGATTCGCTTGCGCCCGATTTGCTTGCGCCCGATTCGCTTGCGCCCCACTCCCTTGCGCCCGACTCCCTTGTGCCCGATTCGCTTGCGCCCGATTCGCTTGCGCCCGATTCGCTTGCGCCCGATTCCCTTGCGCCCGATTCGCTTGCACCCGATTCCCTTGCGCCCGATTCCCTTGCGCCCGATTCCCTTGCGCCCAATTCCAATGCGCTCGATTCCCTTGCGCCCGATTCGCTTGCGCCCGATTCGCTTGCGCCCGATTTGCTTGCGCCCGATTCGCTTGCGCCCGATTCCCTTGCGCCCGACTCCCTTGCGCCCGATTCGCTTGCGCCCGATTCGCTTGCGCCCGATTCCCTTGCGCCCGATTCGCTTGCGCGCCCGACTCGCTTGCGCCTGACTCCCTTGCGCCCGATTCGCTTGCGCCCGATTCCCTTGCGCCCGATTTGCTTGCGCCCGATTCCCTTGCGCCCGATACGCTTGCGCCCGATTCGCTTGCGCCCGATTTCCTTGCGCCCGATTCGCTTGCGCCCGATTCCCTTGTGCCCGACTCCCTTGCGCCCGATTATCTTCCGCCCGATTCGCTTGCGCCCGATTCGCTTGCGCCCGATTCGCTTGTGCCCGATTCCCTTGCGCCCGATTCGCTTGCACCCGATTCCCTTGCGCCCGATTCCCTTGCGCCCGATTCCCTTGCGCCCGACTCCCTTGCGCCCGATTCCCTTGCGCCCGATTCGCTTGCGCCCGATTCGCTTGCGCCCTATTTCCTTGCGCCCGATTCGCTTGCGTCCGATTCCCTTGCGCCCGATTTCCTTGCGCCCGATTCCCTTGCGCCCGATTCCCTTGCCTCCGACTCGCTTGCGCCCGATTCGCTTGCGCCCGATTCCCTTGCCTCCGACTCGCTTGCGCCCGATTCCCTTGCGCCCGATTCGCTTGCGCCCGATTCCCTTGCGCCCGATTCGCTTGCGCCCGATTCCCTTGCGCCCGACTCCCTTGCGCCCGATTCTCTTGCGCCCGACTCTCTTGCGCCCGACTCGCTTGCGCCCGATTCTCTTGCGCCCGAATCGCTTGCGCCCGATTCGCTTGCGCCCGATTTGCTTGCGCCCGATTCGCTTGCGCCCGATTCCCTTACGCTCGACTCCCTTGCGCCCGATTCCCTTGCACCCGACTCCCTTGCGCCCGACTCCCTTGCGCCCGATTCGCTTGCGCCCGATTCGCTTGCGCCCGATTCCCTTGCGCCCGATTCGCTTGCGCGCCCGACTCGCTTGCGCCCGACTCCCTTGCGCCCGATTCGCTTGCGCCCGATTCCCTTGCGCCCGATTCGCTTGCGCCTGATACGCTTGCGCCCGATTCGCTTGCGCCCGATTCCCTTGCGCCCGATTCGCTTGCGCCCGATTCCCTTGCACCCGACTCCCTTGCGCCCGATTCTCTTCCGCCCGATTCTCTTGCGCCCGATTCGCTTGCGCCCGATTCCCTTGCGCCCGAATCGCTTGCGCCCGATTCGCTTGCGCCTGATTCCCTTGCGCCCAATTCGCTTGCGCCCGATTCGCTTGCACCCGATTCGCTTGCGCCCGATTCCCTTGCGCCCGATTCGCTTGCGCCCGATTTGCTTGCGCCCGATTCGCTTGCGCCCGACTCCCTTGCGCCCGACTCCCTTGCGCCCGATTCGCTTGCGCCCGATTCGCTTGCGCCCGATTCGCTTGCGCCCGATTCCCTTGCGCCCGATTCGCTTGCACCCGATTCCCTTGCGCCCGATTCCCTTGCGCCCGATTCCCTTGCGCCCGACTCCCTTGCGCCCGATTCCCTTGCGCCCGATTCGCTTGCGCCCGATTCGCTTGTGCCCGATTCCCTTGCGCCCGATTCGCTTGCGTCCGATTCCCTTGCGCCCGATTTCCTTGCGCCCGATTCCCTTGCGCCCGATTCCCTTGCCTCCGACTCGCTTGCGCCCGATTCGCTTGCGCCCGATTCCCTTGCCTCCGACTCGCTTGCGCCCGATTCCCTTGCGCCCGATTTGCTTGCGCCCGATTCCCTTGCGCCCGATTCGCTTGCGCCCGATTCCCTTGCGCCCGACTCCCTTGCGTCCGATTCTCTTCCGCCCGATTCTCTTGCGCCCGATTCGCTTGCGCTCGATTCCCTTGCGCCCGAATCGCTTGCGCCCGATTCGCTTGCGCCTGATTCCCTTGCGCCCGATTCGCTTGCGCCCGATTCGCTTGCACCCGATTCGCTTGCGCCCGATTCCCTTGCGCCCGATTCGCTTGCGCCCGATTTGCTTGCGCCCGATTCGCTTGCGCCCGACTCCCTTGCGCCCGATTCGCTTGCGCCCGATTCCCTTGCGCCCGAATCGCTTGCGCCCGATTCGCTTGCACCCGATTCGCTTGCGCCCGATTCCCTTGCGCCCGATACGCTTGCGCCCGATTTGCTTGCGCCCGATTCGCTTGCGCCCGACTCCCTTGCGCCCGACTCCCTTGCGCCCGATTCGCTTGCGCCCGATTTGCTTGCGCCCGATTCGCTTGCGCCCGACTCCCTTGCGCCCGACTCCCTTGCGCCCGATTCGCTTGCGCACGATTTGCTTGCGCCCGATTCGCTTGCACCCGATTCCCTTGCGCCCGATTCCCTTGCGCCCGATTCCCTTGCGCCCGACTCCCTTGCGCCCGATTCCCTTGCGCCCGATTCGCTTGCGCCCGATTCGCTTGCGCCCGATTCCCTTGCGCCCGATTCTCTTGCGTCCGATTCCCTTGCGCCCGATTTCCTTGCGCCCGATTCCCTTGCGCCCGATTCCCTTGCCTCCGACTCGCTTGCGCCCGATTCGCTTGCGCCCGATTCCCTTGCCTCCGACTCGCTTGCGCCCGATTCCCTTGCGCCCGATTCGCTTGCGCCCGATTCCCTTGCGCCCGATTCGCTTGCGCCCGATTCCCTTGCGCCCGACTCCCTTGTGCCCGATTCTCTTGCGCCCGACTCTCTTGCGCCCGACTCGCTTGCGCCCGATTCTCTTGCGCCCGAATCGCTTGCGCCCGATTCGCTTGCGCCCGATTTGCTTGCGCCCGATTCGCTTGCGCCCGATTCGCTTGCGCCCGATTTGCTTGCGCCCGATTCGCTTGCGCCCGATTCCCTTGCGCCCGACTCCCTTGCGCCCGATTCCCTTGTGCCCGACGCCCTTGCGCCCGACTCCCTTGCGCCCGATTCGCTTGCGCCCGATTCCCTTGCGCCCGATTCGCTTGCGCCCGATTCCCTTGCGCCCGATACGCTTGCGCCCGATTCGCTTGCGCCCGATTCCCTTGCGCCCGATTCGCTTGCGCCCGATTCCCTTGCGCCCGACTCCCTTGCGCCCGATTCTCTTCCGCCCGATTCTCTTGCGCCCGATTCGCTTGCGCCCGATTCCCTTGCGCCCGAATTGCTTGCGCCCGATTCGCTTGCGCCTGATTCCCTTGCGCCCGATTCGCTTGCGCCCAATTCGATTGCACCCGATTCGCTTGCGCCCGATTCCCTTGCGCCCGATTCGCTTGCGCCCGATTTGCTTGCGCCCGATTCGCTTGCGCCCCACTCCCTTGCGCCCGACTCCCTTGTGCCCGATTCGCTTGCGCCCGATTCGCTTGCGCCCGATTCGCTTGCGCCCGATTCCCTTGCGCCCGATTCGCTTGCACCCGATTCCCTTGCGCCCGATTCCCTTGCGCCCGATTCCCTTGCGCCCAATTCCCTTGCGCTCGATTCCCTTGCGCCCGATTCGCTTGCGCCCGATTCGCTTGCGCCCGATTTGCTTGCGCCCGATTCGCTTGCGCCCGATTCCCTTGCGCCCGACTCCCTTGCGCCCGATTCGCTTGCGCCCGATTCGCTTGCGCCCGATTCCCTTGCGCCCGATTCGCTTGCGCGCCCGACTCGCTTGCGCCTGACTCCCTTGCGCCCGATTCGCTTGCGCCCGATTCCCTTGCGCCCGATTTGCTTGCGCCCGATTCCCTTGCGCCCGATACGCTTGCGCCCGATTCGCTTGCGCCCGATTTCCTTGCGCCCGATTCGCTTGCGCCCGATTCCCTTGCGCCCGACTCCCTTGCGCCCGATTCTCTTCCGCCCGATTCGCTTGCGCCCGATTCGCTTGCGCCCGATTCGCTTGTGCCCGATTCCCTTGCGCCCGATTCGCTTGCACCCGATTCCCTTGCGCCCGATTCCCTTGCGCCCGATTCCCTTGCGCCCGACTCCCTTGCGCCCGATTCCCTTGCGCCCGATTCGCTTGCGCCCGATTCGCTTGCGCCCGATTTCCTTGCGCCCGATTCGCTTGCGTCCGATTCCCTTGCGCCCGATTTCCTTGCGCCGGATTCCCTTGCGCCCGATTCCCTTGCCTCCGACTCGCTTGCGCCCGATTCGCTTGCGCCCGATTCCCTTGCCTCCGACTCGCGTGCGCCCGATTCCCTTGCGCCCGATTCGCTTGCGCCCGATTCCCTTGCGCCCGATTCGCTTGCGCCCGATTCCCTTGCGCCCGACTCCCTTGCGCCCGATTCTCTTGCGCCCGACTCTCTTGCGCCCGACTCGCTTGCGCCCGATTCTCTTGCGCCCGAATCGCTTGCGCCCGATTCGCTTGCGCCCGATTTGCTTGCGCCCGATTCGCTTGCGCCCGATTCGCTTGCGCCCGATTTGCTTGCGCCCGATTCGCTTGCGCCCGATTCCCTTACGCTCGACTCCTTTGCGCCCGATTCCCTTGCGCCCGACTCCCTTGCGCCCGACTCCCTTGCGCCCGATTCGCTTGCGCCCGATTCGCTTGCGCCCGATTCCCTTGCGCCCGATTCGCTTGCGCGCCCGACTCGCTTGCGCCCGACTCCCTTGCGCCCGATTCGCTTGCGCCCGATTCCCTTGCGCCCGATTCGCTTGCGCCCGATACGCTTGCGCCCGATTCGCTTGCGCCCGATTCCCTTGCGCCCGATTCGCTTGCGCCCGATTCCCTTGCACCCGACTCCCTTGTGCCCGATTCTCTTCCGCCCGATTCTCTTGCGCCCGATTCGCTTGCGCCCGATTCCCTTGCGCCCGAATCGCTTGCGCCCGATTCGCTTGCGCCTGATTCCCTTGCGCCCAATTCGCTTGCGCCCGATTCGCTTGCACCCGATTCGCTTGCGCCCGATTCCCTTGCGCCCGAATCGCTTGCGCCCGATTTGCTTGCGCCCGATTCGCTTGCGCCCGACTCCCTTGCGCCCGACTCCCTTGCGCCCGATTCGCTTGCGCCCGATTCGCTTGCGCCCGATTCGCTTGCGCCCGATTCCCTTGCGCCCGATTCGCTTGCACCCGATTCCCTTGCGCCCGATTCCCTTGCGCCCGATTCCCTTGCGCCCGACTCCCTTGCGCCCGATTCCCTTGCGCCCGATTCGCTTGCGCCCGATTCGCTTGTGCCCGATTCCCTTGCGCCCGATTCGCTTGCGTCCGATTCCCTTGCGCCCGATTTCCTTGCGCCCGATTCCCTTGCGCCCGATTCCCTTGCCTCCGACTCGCTTGCGCCCGATTCGCTTGCGCCCGATTCCCTTGCCTCCGACTCGCTTGCGCCCGATTCCCTTGCGCCCGATTTGCTTGCGCCCGATTCCCTTGCGCCCGATTCGCTTGCGCCCGATTCCCTTGCGCCCGACTCCCTTGCGTCCGATTCTCTTCCGCCCGATTCTCTTGCGCCCGATTCGCTTGCGCTCGATTCCCTTGCGCCCGAATCGCTTGCGCCCGATTCGCTTGCGCCTGATTCCCTTGCGCCCGATTCGCTTGCGCCCGATTCGCTTGCACCCGATTCGCTTGCGCCCGATTCCCTTGCGCCCGATTCGCTTGCGCCCGATTTGCTTGCGCCCGATTCGCTTGCGCCCGACTCCCTTGCGCCCGATTCGCTTGCGCCCGATTCGCTTGCGCCCGATTCGCTTGCGCCCGATTCCCTTGCGCCCGATTCGCTTGCACCTGATTCCCTTGCGCCCGATTCCCTTGCGCCCGATTCCCTTGCGCCCAATTCCCTTGCGCTCGATTCCCTTGCGCCCGATTCGCTTGCGCCCGATTCCCTTGCGCCCGATTTCCTTGCGCCCGATTCCCTTGCGCCCGATTCCCTTGCCTCCGACTCGCTTGCGCCCGATTCGCTTGCGCCCGATTCGCTTGCGCCCGATTCCCTTGCGCCCGACTCGCTTGCGCCCGACTCGCTTGCGCCCGATTCTCTTGCGCCGGAATCCCTTCCGCCCGATTCCCTTGCGCCCCATTCGCTTGCGCCCGATTCGCTTGCGCCCGATTCCCTTGCGCCCGACTCCCTTGCACCCGATTCGCTTGCGCCCGATTCGCTTGCGCCCGATTCGCTTGCGCCCGATTCGCTTGCGCCCGATTCTCTTGCGCCCGACTCTCTTGCGCCCGACTCACTTGCGCCCGATTCTCTTGCGCCCGAATGGCTTGCGCCCGATTCGCTTGCGCCCGATTTGCTTGCGCCCGATTCGCTTGCGCCCGATTCGCTTGCGCCCGATTTGCTTGCGCCCGATTCGCTTGCGCCCGATTCCCTTGCGCCAGACTCCCTTGCGCCCGATTCCCTTGCGCCCGACTCCCTTGCGCCCGACTCCCTTGCGCCCGATTCGCTTGCGCCCGATTCGCTTGCGCCCGATTCCCTTGCGCCCGATTCGCTTGCGCGCTCGACTCTCTTGCGCCCGACTCGCTTGCGCCCGATTCGCTTGCGCCCGATTCCCTTGCGCCCGATTCGCTTGCGCCCGATACGCTTGCGCCCGATTCGCTTGCGCCCGATTCCCTTGCGCCCGATTCGCTTGCGCCCGATTCCCTTGCGCCCGACTCCCTTGCGTCCGATTCTCTTCCGCCCGATTCTCTTGCGCCCGATTCGCTTGCGCTCGATTCCCTTGCGCCCGAATCGCTTGCGCCCCATTCGCTTGCGCCTGATTCCCTTTCGCCCGATTCGCTTGCGCCCGATTCGCTTGCACCCGATTCGCTTGCGCCCGATTCCCTTGCGCCCGATTCGCTTGCGCCCGATTTGCTTGCGCCCGATTCGCTTGCGCCCGACTCCCTTGCGCCCGATTCGCTTGCGCCCGATTCGCTTGCGCCCGATTCGCTTGCGCCCAATTCCCTTGCGCCCGATTCGCTTGCACCTGATTCCCTTGCGCCCGATTCCCTTGCGCCCGATTCCCTTGCGCCCAATTCCCTTGCGCTCGATTCCCTTGCGCCCGATTCGCTTGCGCCCGATTCCCTTGCGCCCGATTTCCTTGCGCCCGATTCCCTTGCGCCCGATTCCCTTGCCTCCGACTCGCTTGCGCCCGATTCGCTTGCGCCCGATTCGCTTGCGCCCGATTCCCTTGCGCCCGACTCGCTTGCGCCCGACTCGCTTGCGCCCGATTCTCTTGCGCCTGAATCCCTTCCGCCCGATTCCCTTGCGCCCCATTCGCTTGCGCCCGATTCGCTTGCGCCCGATTCCCTTGCGCCCGACTCCCTTGCACCCGATTCGCTTGCGCCCGATTCGCTTGCGCCCGATTCGCTTGCGCCCGATTCCCTTGCGCCCGACTCCCTTGCGCCCGACTCCCTTGCGCCCGATTCTCTTGCGCCTGATTCGCTTGCGCCCGATTCCCTTGCGCCCGATTCGCTTGTGCCCGATTCGCTTGCGCCCGATTCGCTTGCGCCCGATTCGCTTGCGCCCGATCCGCTTGCGCCCGATTCCCTTGCGCCCGATTCGCTTGCGCCCGATTCCCTTGCGCCCGATTCGCTTGCGGCCGACTCCCTTGCGCCCGACTCCCTTGCGCCCGATTCGCTTGCGCCCGATTCGCTTGCGCCCAATTCGCTTGCGCCCGATTCCCTCGCGCCCGATTCCCTTGTGCCCGACTCGCTTGCGCCCGATTCGCTTGCGCGCCCGGCTCGCTTGCGCCCGACTCCCTTACGCCCGAATCGCTTGCGCTTGCGCCCGATTCGCTTGCGCCCGATTCCCTTGCGCCCGATTCCCTTGCGCCCGATTCCCTTGCGCCCAATTCGCTTGCGCCCGATTCCCTTGCGCCCGACTCCCTTGCGCCCGATTCGCTTGCGCCCGATTCGCTTGCGCCCGATTCCCTTGCGCCCGATTCGCTTGCGCGCTCGACTCTCTTGCGCCCGACTCGCTTGCGCCCGATTCGCTTGCGCCCGATTCCCTTGCGCCCGATTCGCTTGCGCCCGATACGCTTGCGCCCGATTCGCTTGCGCCCGATTCCCTTGCGCCCGATTCGCTTGCGCCCGATTCCCTTGCGCCCGACTCCCTTGCGTCCGATTCTCTTCCGCCCGATTCTCTTGCGCCCGATTCGCTTGCGCTCGATTCCCTTGCGCCCGAATCGCTTGCGCCCGATTCGCTTGCGCCTGATTCCCTTTCGCCCGATTCGCTTGCGCCCGATTCGCTTGCACCCGATTCGCTTGCGCCCGATTCCCTTGCGCCCGATTCGCTTGCGCCCGATTTGCTTGCGCCCGATTCGCTTGCGCCCGACTCCCTTGCGCCCGATTCACTTGCGCCCGATTCGCTTGCGCCCGATTCGCTTGCGCCCAATTCCCTTGCGCCCGATTCGCTTGCACCTGATTCCCTTGCGCCCGATTCCCTTGCGCCCGATTCCCTTGCGCCCAATTCCCTTGCGCTCGATTCCCTTGCGCCCGATTCGCTTGCGCCCGATTCCCTTGCGCCCGATTTCCTTGCGCCCGATTCCCTTGCGCCCGATTCCCTTGCCTCCGACTCGCTTGCGCCCGATTCGCTTGCGCCCGATTCGCTTGCGCCCGATTCCCTTGCGCCCGACTCGCTTGCGCCCGACTCGCTTGCGCCCGATTCTCTTGCGCCCGAATCCCTTCCGCCCGATTCCCTTGCGCCCCATTCGCTTGCGCCCGATTCGCTTGCGCCCGATTCCCTTGCGCCCGACTCCCTTGCACCCGATTCGCTTGCGCCCGATTCGCTTGCGCCCGATTCGCTTGCGCCCGATTCCCTTGCGCCCGACTCCCTTGCGCCCGACTCCCTTGCGCCCGATTCTCTTGCGCCTGATTCGCTTGCGCCCGATTCCCTTGCGCCCGATTCGCTTGTGCCCGATTCGCTTGCGCCCGATTCGCTTGCGCCCGATTCGCTTGCGCCCGATCCGCTTGCGCCCGATTCCCTTGCGCCCGATTCGCTTGCGCCCGATTCCCTTGCGCCCGATTCGCTTGCGGCCGACTCCCTTGCGCCCGACTCCCTTGCGCCCGATTCGCTTGCGCCCGATTCGCTTGCGCCCAATTCGCTTGCGCCCGATTCCCTTGCGCCCGATTCCCTTGTGCCCGACTCGCTTGCGCCCGATTCGCTTGCGCGCCCGGCTCGCTTGCGCCCGACTCCCTTACGCCCGAATCGCTTGCGCTTGCGCCCGATTCGCTTGCGCCCGATTCCCTTGCGCCCGATTCCCTTGCGCCCGATTCCCTTGCGCCCAATTCGCTTGCGCCCGATTCCCTTGCGCCCGATTCGCTTGCGCCCGATTCGCTTGCGCCCGATTTCCTTGCGCCCGATTCGCTTGCGTCCGATTCCCTTGCGCCCGATTTCCTTGCGCCCGATTTCCTTGCGCCCGATTCCCTTGCCTCCGACTCGCTTGCGCCCGATTCGCTTGCGCCCGATTCACTTGCGCCCGACTCGCTTGCGCCCGATTTGCTTGCGCCCGACTCCCTTGCGCCCGACTCCCCTGCGCCCGATTCTTGCGCCCGATTCGCTTGTGCCCGATTCGCTTGCGCCCGATTCCCTTGCGGCCGATTCGCTTGCGCCCGATTCCCTTGCGCCCGATTCCCTTGCGCCCGACTCGCTTGCGCCCGATTCGCTTGCGCGCCCGACTCTCTTGCGCCCGACTCCCTTGCGCCCGATTCGGTTGCGCCCGATTCGCTTGCGCCCGATTCGCTTGCGCCCGATTCGCTTGCGCCCGATTCGCTTGCGCCCGATTCCCTTGCGCCCGATTCGCTTGCACCCGATTCCCTTGCGCCCGATTCCCTTGCGCCCGATTCCCTTGCGCCCAATTCCCTTGCGCCCGATTCCCTTGCGTCCGATTCGCTTGCGTCCGATTCGCTTGCGCCCGATTCCCTTGCGCCCGATTCGCTTGCGTCCGATTCCCTTGCGCCCGATTTCCTTGCGCCCCATTCCCTTGCGCCCAATTCCCTTGCCTCCGACTCGCTTGCGCCCGATTCGCTTGCGCCCGATTCGCTTCCGCCCGATTCGCTTGCGCCGGACTCGCTTGGGCCCGACTCGCTTGCGCCCGATTCCCTTGCGCCCGAATCCCTTCCGCCCGATTCCCCCCCATTCGCTTGCGCCCGATTCGCTTGCGCCCGATTCCCTTGCGCCCGACTCCCTTGCGCCCGATTCGCTTGCGCCCGATTCGCTTGCGCCCGATTCCCTTGCGCCCGATTCGCTTGCGCACGATTCCCTTGCGCCCGACTCCCTTGCGCCCGACTCCCTTGCGCCCGATTCTCTTGCGCCCGATTCGCTTGCGCCCGATTCACTTGCGCCCGATTCGCTTGCGCCCGATCCGCTTGCGCCCGATTCCGTTGCGCCCGATTCGCTTGCGCCCGATTCCCTTGCGCCCGATTTGCTTGCGCCCGACTCCCTTGCGCCCGACTCCCTTGCGCCCGATTTGCTTGCGCCCGATTCGCTTGCGCCCGATTCGCTTGCGCCCGATTCCCTTGCGCCTGATTCGCTTGCGCCCGATTCCCTTGCGCCCGATTCCCTTGCGCCCGACTCGCTTGCGCTCGACTCCCTTGCGCCCGATTCGCTTGCGCCCGATTCGCTTGCGCCCGATTCCCTTGCGCCCGATTCGCTTGCGCCCGATTCGCTTGCGCCCGATTCCCTTGCGCCCGATTCGCTTGCGTCCGATTCCCTTGCGCCCGATTCCCTTGCGCCCGATTCCCTTGCCTCCGACTCGCTTGCACCCGATTCGCTTGCGCCCGATTCTGTTGCGCCCGATTCGCTTGCGCCCGATTCGCTTGCGCCTGATTCCCTTGCGCCCGATTCGCTTGCGCCCGATTCCCTTGCGCCCGACTCCCTTGCGCCCGACTCCCTTGCGCCCGATTCTCTTGCGCCCGATTCGCTTGCGCCCGATTCCCTTCGCCCGATTCGCTTGCGCCCGATTCGCTTGCGCCCGATTCGCTTGCGCCCGATTCCCTTGCGCCCGATTCGCTTGCGCCCGACTCCCTTGCGCCCGACTCCCTTGCGCCCGATTCGCTTGCGCACGATTCGCTTGCGCCCGATTCGCTTGCGCCCGATTCCCTTGCGCCTGATTCGCTTGCGCCCGATTCCCTTGCGCCCGATTCCCTTGCGCCCGACTCGCTTGCGCCCGATTCGCTTGCGCGCCCGACTCGCTTGCGCCCGACTCCCTTGCGCCCGATTCGCTTGCGCTTGCGCCCGATTCGCTTGCGCCCGATTCCCTTGCGCCCGATTCGCTTGCGCCCGATTCGCTTGCGCCCGATTCCCTTGCGCCCGATTCGCTTGCGTCCGATTCCCTTGCGCCCGATTCCCTTGCGCCCGATTCCCTTGCCTCCGACTCGCTTGCACCCGATTCGCTTGCGCCCGATTTGCTTGTGCCCGATTCCCTTGCGTCCGATTCCCTTGCGCCCGATTTCCTTGCGCCCGATTCCCTTGCGCCCGATTCCCTTGCCTCCGACTCGCTTGCGCCCGATTCGCTTGCGCCCGATTCGCTTGCGCCCGATTTGCTTGCGCCTGATTTGCTAGCGCCCGACTCCCTTGCGCCCGACTCCCTTTAGCCCGATTCGCTTGCGCCCGATTCGCTTGCGCCCGATTCGCTTGCGCCCGATTCCCTTGCGCCCGATTCCCTTGTGCCCGATTCGCTTGCGCCCGATTCCCTTGCGCCCGATTCCCTTGCGCCCGACTCGCTTGCGCCCGATTCGCTTGCGCGCCCGACTCGCTTGCACCCG